ACGAGAGAGAGAGAGAGAGAGAGAGGAGTAATTTCGACACGAGAATTCGGAACATCGATACGGATCCATCGACTTACGCTACGAAAAAAAAAAAAAAACGGTTACTTTTAATCTCGCGTTTAGATACAAAGCGAGAGCATTTGCAATTCCAATTACGCGAGCCTTATCTCTCGTCGGCGCGCTCCGACGCTCCACACGGCCCCACGTCGTTTACCTTCTCCTCTCCCCGCCCCTTACCTTTCTTTGGAACGACGAAGATGCGACGAGAATCGTCGCGGGATATTAAAAGGGAATATATCCCGAATCGAGAGATATACAAGAGCGAATTTTCACCCTTTGGAAACGGATTTCGCTCTCTCGTCCAAATTGGACGTGTTTTTGTAGAAGGGATATTAATAACGTAACGACGGAAGATTTGTAATTCGTTTAACTACGTTATCGAACTACGTTTGGTTAGGCAGTTTGGTTGTCGAGCGAGCGCTGCTGGCGGCGGGTGAAGGAACTCATTTTCATTTATCTCCATTGAAAATGTCTCGCGCAAGTTTGTAAGTGGCCCCCAAGTCCGGGAAAAGCTCTTCGGGTTATGCCACTGGCTGGTACAGGGGCACGTTCGTGCAATAACGGTAATCGCCTCGATAAGTATCTCGCCCTACCTCGCCCCACCGGAAAACACATACTTCGAACTGGATCACCCCCCCCCTTCCCCTCTCCCCTCCCCTCTCCCTCCCCTCCTCTCCTCCCCCTTGTTCCAAAGGGCACGGGAAAAAGGGAAAGAAAAAAAAAAAGAAACGAAGGAAATACAACGTATTAACGGGCCGATTACCCGAAACGAAACGACACTTTCCTCTGGAAACGAGGAAACAATAATGCCATCCCCATACGTTCCCCGACCGAATGAAACGATAATGGGGCGGGGAGAGTTTCACGCGAGAGGGAAGAATAGTTCGTCGAATGGTCGTCGATCGAGAGAGGGAATGGAGAAGAGGAGATACGAAATCGGGAGATTAATATGCGTGCGGATAATAATGCGAACGGACAATCGATAATTATAAGCGAGGCAAACTTTAAATGAGAAATGCCTCCCTTCCATTCATTCGTAATCTCGAGAGAGCGAGTAGTAGAAGAACTTAGGTGGAGGAGTAGAAAGGTAAAATAGAAGAAAGGGGAGGGGAATATTTTCGAAAGGGATTCGAAATGGAGGAGAGACGAAAAATCCTGCCCCCCCCCCTCCTTTTCGAATATCTTTTCGAAACATCGTTGCACTTTCTCTCGTCGCGCAAAAAGGAGCGCTTTGTTTTTTTTAATTAATCGATATCGAAGGAGGAGTCGCTTTCATTTCCCCTCCGACGAGCTCTTCCTCTTCCCTTTCCGTCCGAATATTTTTCCCGATCGAGCGCGCGGCCAGAATCTCGTTCCGAGATCCGTAAATTCTAATTCGTAATAAAAATCGTCAACATAAATTTTCATAGGGTCGCGAAAAGGATTGCCGTCTGGGGAGCGGCGCGTAATGTTGGCCGAACATTAACGCGCGGAGGAGCAACGGAGATCTTAACAAATTAATTTATATTCCGCGGCGACGGCAATTTCACGCTCCCTCCGCGGTGTATCGTCCTCGTCCTCGTCGTAGTAGTCGTAGTCTCGTCTTCGAATAGCGGCACGCCTCGGTGGAATACTTTGACGGCGCGAACTTGCTCGTAACGCTTCATGGATCCGCCTCGTATTCCTATCGTGTCGTAAAAAAAAGAGAGAGAGAGAGAAGGAAAAAACGATGGCTCGTAAAAGTGCAGGGAAGGGACGAAGGAAGAATGTTTAACGAACAGATGTAATTTCGTCGTGGCGCGAGCATTTAACTTCGTCCCGGAATACGATCCCCCACGATTCCACGATCGACGAGCGTGCCGAGTTCCGCCGCGTCGAAAATTTAACGCTTCCGGGGGAGGCGGTTCCTCCTCCTTTTCGTCTTATAATTTTCAGTTTAGCTGTTTTTATTTTCGTTATTTTCTTAGATCGTATCAGTATTTAGATCCGTCTCACGTCTATCGGATAATTTTTTTAGGACAGGATTCTCGCGGCCATCCCGTGTCGCAAATAACTTTTTTCTGTAATACTTATACTTTCTTTGGAATATTTCCAATTCTCCAGTTTATATCGTATGTTTGTCAAATTCGAAATGTTTTCGTAAATCGATTGTCTGCTATAATATTCGTTACATCATCAGGATTCGAGGTGGCGAATAAAACTGGCATATTTTTAATTATAGATTTTTGACGTTACAATCTATATTTAAAAAATTTCGTAATTTCGTTTTGTCCTTTTCACTTTTATTCGAATATTATTTCTCAATTTTTTTTCTATTTTATTCCAACTTATGTAACACGCTTCGTTTCTCTATACATTTGTACATTCTTTCTATATATACGATTACTCGTATTTTCTTCTTCCGTTCTACATCAATTAAACGCAACGTTAATCTTTTTATATGCAACAACTTTTCATATACACATTTTCTAATGAGATAATAAATCACAAAACAAGAAGCAATATTGTTATCCAAAAAAATAAATCTCCGTGTCAGCGCGAAATCGGGGGAAAGAAAAAATAATTTTTCGTTCCGATTCAGCTCTACCTTTCGAACCGCTGTAACCGAGGCTCGTTATTTCGCAGCCTGCCCTCCCTCCTCTATATAATAACATCTAAAACACGAAGACTAGGAAACGTGTTTTCCATCCGGTGTAAAAGCCCGGGATTTCTCGGCCGTTTTTTACGATCCGATGATGGATCCCGCATGTTGCGGGAAACGGAGTCGAAGGACGGCGATTAAAACACCTGCGCCAATCGCGATACATCCTCCTCCCCTTTAAAAGCCCTTTTTTTACGACTACGATGCGCCTCGACGCGCACGTAGGGGGAAGGGGACTGGCTGTCCAAGTCGTCGTGGAAACGGAACCGAGCCGGGCTATAAAACTTTTACCCGAGCGGCGTAGTAACCCGGCTAAGTTGCGCTTTACAACCTGGAAGGAGGAGGCTGGCCTCCACGTGCCCCCGTAACTCACGGGCTCTCTATCTCCAGCGATTTCAAGGTCTTCGAAGGAGGAGGAGTGGTGGACACTGGTTCGTCTCGGTTCGATCGAATCGCCGATTTTCCAACCCGGTTCCCCGGATAAAGAAAAAGGAAGACGAAGAAAGGCGTGTGGCGCGCGCGCGCACACACACACGCGCGCGCGTTATTACGTTTACCGTGGGTGGTCCGGGAGTCGAATAACTGGGAGAGGGAGGCTTGGATCCGGAGAGGAGAGCCCCGCTCTTGTAGCGGGCAATATGTTTCGAAATTGTTTTACTCGGTGTACCAAAGAGAAGATAAAAATGTTCCGTCGCGTAGCTAGGCTACGCTGCTTTCTGCCCCGCCGAGCGCCGCGGAGTAACTTTTGCGGGATGTGATGTGGAAAATTGGATTCAAGTTCGGGGCGGAGTGAGAGGGGCGGAAAGGGACGGGAAGGGTTCGATGGGCGGAGGGCGATGGCGCGCGGCGCGAGGGGGGGAGGGGGCAAGAAGCCGGGACACGAGAGGGAGAGGAGAAAAACTTGCGAGGAGGATATCGATGAGGAGGAAGAACAGGGAGAAGAGAGAAGGAGTTTAGCTCCTTTTATCGTTTTCGTCGAAACAGCGGCGCAGCCAGCGGCTCTCGATGCCGTTTTTACTCTTTCGTTTACGCCGATACACGCCCGATTCCTAGTCTCCCCTTCATCGTGAGCCACCGCATCCCTTGCACGTAGATGGAAAGAGGAGACCACGCTTCGCAGCACGACCTTACTTCTCGTGTCTCGTCTACGATTTTCGACTCGACGAAGCGGTTCGACCGAGTAATTCCCTGGTGGCCGGAAGCGGAATCTCTCTCTCTCTCTCTTCTTTTTCAGCTTTCTCGTGTCCCCGCAGCTGTGCGCCATCGCGACGTTTCCAGACGCGTCTCTCCGCACCCTTCCTTTTTTACCCTTCCTCTTTGTCTCGGCTCGGCCGCGTTTCCACTCCACGAACGTGTCTTACTCCCCTCGACGGGGGGAGAGAGAGGCGGCGAACGTTGTAGATATTAATTGGGACGGAAATGGGTGATGGGCCGATTCTCGAGCCGATTGCCGGCCGCAATTCCCTCCGCTAATTTCTCTCCAAGATCGATTCCCTCCCAATAAGGACGGGCGAACGTTTCACGTCCCACTCGACCAGTTCCAACCGGAGTAATTATTTTCCGATGCGATCTTTTTCGCGATCTTGAAACGACGAGTCTCTCGTGACGAACGAGAGACTCGATTCCTACGGTATTGAAAATTGGATTCGTCGAAAGTCATCAACAACGTCCGTGATCGTTGTTCGAAAAGTTGATGAAATCGGACGAAGAGTCGCGGGCGTGTCGTTCAAAAAAATATCGATCGGCGAGAATCGATGCGATCGATGCGTTTCTATTGAGAGAGAAAAGAAGAAAAAAGAAGAAACGTTGACGAGTCGACGACCGGTTGCAACGAGGGGTCGCAAGCTCGGCCAATTCGAAGCCAGTTTGTAACCGGCTGAAATACAACCGATATACGACCGGCCAATAGCAGGGAGGGAATATTTTGTTTAAAGGTAAGGAACGAGATTCGTTCGGTTACCGACCGAGCCGATAAAAGCAACGCCTCGTATACGGGACGTGCGACAAGCCGGTAACCGGTTTGAGGGGGGATCAATGGACCACCACGAATTTTTCGAAAAACGTGTCAGCAAAGCTGCAGGATCGAGGGACTATTCCGAGACCGAGAAACGCCTCGTCTACGCGTCGATTCTCCAAAGATTTTTCGTGCAAATCGTTCGAGTCGTACACGTTACAGGATCCCCGAGAAACTGAAATTTAAATTTATCTCCCGGCAATAACGAGCCAGCCACTATATCGGAGGGGAAAATTCGGGGGAGAAGGTTGAGAAAGTTGAGAATTGAATGTTAAAAGTTTCCTTCGCATTGGAATTGGAAAAATTCTTTCGAAAGAAGGGGGGGCCCGCTATGAGAATGCACGAGGCGTTGTCTTATCTCACTCGATAGACCCGACCGATACAAACATCGCGACGAAATCATATTTCTCTTCTCTTCTCTCTCCCCCCTCGAACGATCGTTTGTCAGAGGAAGGAAGGGAGAAAGAGAGAGAGAGAAAGAGAGATAAAGGCGGAAGATGCAATCTCGCTCGGCAAGCTGGAGGAGCTAATCTACCTACATAAAGTTGCTCCCATAGAGTGGGAGGCGGAGTGGTGGTTTAACGCGCACCGCAAATTATACCCTAACCGAGGGAATTGGAGGATGAGCCGAGGGCGACGGAAGAATCGGGGGGGATGAAAAGGAAGAAAGCGGGGCGGTGAAAGGAGAAGAGGGTGTTCTTGCACGCGACTCTTTCCAAGGCAATCTGTAACTTCTCCATTCGACGCTAACAACCAACCAACACGAGAGGAGAGTTGTTCGCGGTCCGACTGCTCCACCTATAGTAGACGTCTCCTTCGACTGCCCACCCCTCCCTTTCGCCTCGTTTCGAAGTGCCGTTTCTCGAATAAACAGTCTCGACTCGGAAAGGTGGCGGGGGAGGGCGAAAACGGCCAAGTCCTTTTCGAGGGGGCCAGCACGCGTGGTTCCTAGCCGCAGTAGCTCGCTCGCTCTACAAACGTTCCTTGATGAGATCGACGTGAGTGGCTGGAACTCGGTCTCTTGCTTCTCGAGCAAGGCTCCTCGAAAGTGTGGCTCGGTCGAGAGTCGTTCGGTCCACGGTTAACGAACTAAATTTTCGCGAGACGTTGCCTTTAATGGTTTGAGCAACGTTTGCGACCCTTTCCTCCTCTGCGCCGCACGTACACACAGGCTATTCTCGCAAATTGCTCGAAACTCGTACACCTCGTCGAGTCTTGTTGTTAATCATCGGCCGCAAATAAATAAATACTCGTTCGAGGAACGACATCTTTTTTCCCCTTTCTCTCTCTCTCTCTCTCGTCATCGTGCGACCTCGAAGGTCACCTGTTGCCGCTAATTCTCCTCGAGCAGGGATGATCGGTCGAGCAACCATCGTAATTGGCCGATCTTCTACGATGGCGGAGAAACCGTTCCGAGCGAGATTGTGAAAATAAATGAATCGGGTCGATGTTGCGCCATTCGAACGACTCCCGGGCTATTTTCTTAACCGTTTCGATTGGGAACGTTACGATTACGATTTTACAGAGAGATTCAAGATGAACGTTAATCCTCCGGCGTGGATACCTGTTGATATATATATCCACGTTCGTAGCAAAGCTTTAATAGAAACGTATAATTGTAACAGCTCGTAAAAAAGTCTCGATTTCCAGAGAAACGCAAGAACGACGAGCTAAAACGTAAAATGGAAAGATCGACACACAAGACAAGTGTAGTCGATCAGCGAAATTAAGGAAAACGCGCGGTCTAATTGGAAAAGTTCCTTTTTTTTTTTCAATCCCCGCGTGGATGGAAGATGGACCGGCGGACTCTCCAGCCGCGGCTGGAGAGTTCATCGAGCCGCGGCTCGGCAAACGGGGGGAGGGAGGAGGAAATAAATGTTTAAACTGGAACGAGACCGGGAAGGAATTACATTTAAATTAGATTACGAGTTCCGTAAATATTAGAATTCTAGCCACCGTACGAGCCACCGCTGTAATACGAAATATGGATGAGACGTCGCAACTCTCTCGATCGGACGTTATTATTATTATTATTATTATTATTATCATTATCGTAGTCGTCGTCATCCATCCACGTTCGAAGCGTGGGAAAACGGTTTTTGCTTCCGGTTAATTTCGTTGATACGAGGATAATTTGCGGCGGAACGCACGTATCTCCTCCAGTTTAATTAGCTTAATTAAATCCGGATTCCTGCTAAATCTTGCGCGATCCCGCAAACCCGCACACATCGCTTGACCCCAAAATCAACGAATGAAAGAATGCGTTTGAAGCCGCGGTGCGGTGCGACTCGGGCCCCCGCTAAAATATATGTACGTACCGTGTATGCAGGTTTCTCCCGGTTTTGCCCGGGAGAACGAGAAACGTGGATCGACGTCGAGCGCATTCGGACGCTCGGTTTCTTTTCTTTCTTTTTTTTTTTTTTTCCAAGGATAGGAACGTGTTCATTGGAACGTGGTTGGAATTTTTTTTAAAAATGGCGCCGCCCAAAGTCGCACGCATCTCGCGAATTTTTATTATTCGCCAACCATTTCTCTCTCCCGCTGTTGAACATCGATGCTCGTGAATATCGCTCGTGGATAGAAGGGAGGGGGTGAGAAAAGAAACATTGAATCGAAATGGATGGAACAGTTTTCTCGTGAAATTCCACCAGATATTAAATTTCGAATTATTTATCGGTTGAAAGTTTAAGTCGCGCTATATCGAGACGATAATAATTTCGTTACGATATTTTTTTTTTGTTCTTCTTGTTTTTCTTTCTTTTCTTTTTTTTTTTCTTACAATTCTTCTGGAACGCAAATCGAGCAGAGAATCGAATCGAAGGAAGAGACAGACGAATCCTTTTCCATTCGACTTGCCATTACGGATATAATCCGTGGAAGAGAGAGCATCCACCCACCTCCCTGGAGGATGAGCGGAGAAGGAAGAAGGAAAGGGGCGGTTTCCCGTTCATGATTCAATCAGCCAAGTTAAAGCGAGCGCGAAATGACGCGGCGTAAACTCGGGGTAAGCCCCCTTTTCATCCCCTCGAACGCATCATTCGGAACGCACACCGCCCTTTCTTCGAATTCCATTCATACGGGGAGCATAACGCTCCCCGTTTCAATGCTCCTCGACCGAGGCGGAGAATGTTCCGCTAAAGCGTTCCGCGTATCGCGTCTCTACCACCATAGACGAGCCAACGTTCAACGTTCAAACAGGAATTTTATCCCTGGGAATAACAACATATACTGTGCTTATAATGGAAACAAACAAATCTAGCGAGTAAGAAATTGGCGTATTAAAATTTCTCCAATATTTATTTATTACGAGATCGATCGATTTCATTACATTTGAAAGTTTCTAAAAGAGAAATCGGACATTTTTCTTTTCTTTTCTTTCTTTACCATTACGATAGAAGAAAACGATCGTAATTTTTATTTCGAAGTGGAATCTTCCTCTTATCCCAGATCGAAGATCGTCTTAACCGATCGAGATGTTGCGTTTCGAGGCCGGGATACAAGTTGAAAAAATATTTCCTGTGACAACACGGCGTGGCCGGCAATCCCGCTTTTCCGTGTATCTCGAACGAGGGGTAATGGGTTTTTGAACTCGGCGAGCAACGATGGAGGAGGAGGGGAGGGACATCGGGGCTAACGATATTTCTCAGTTACTCGGCCTGTATTTTTACAAAAAATATCTCACCGGTGAGGATCGCTTAAAGACGCAATTTAATCGGGAACTTTACATTCCATTACGCCAGCGAAAAAGTACACCGGTACGACTACGACTTTTTTTTTCCCCTCTAGTTCCTCTCTTTTTCTTCCTCCTCCTCCTCCTCCTCTTCTTCTTCTTCTTCTTCTTCCTCCTCCTCTCCTTCTCGAATCGCTTTTTAAAACGCGTCCGTCCAAAGAGAGAGAGATAGAGAGAGAGAGACGAGAAGTTTGCAAGGAAACTTCCCCCTTTGAAACGGATACCTCCAACGCATCCTCGGCTTCCTCTCTGTTTCTCTGTCTCCTCTCCTGTCTCCATCGGTAAATATCGTCGCAGAGTGAAGCTACCGGCCGAGTTTTCCCTCCCTCTCAAATTTTTCGAAAAACAACGACGATCACCGCTCCTTTGAATTCCAGAAGCAAGGGGAATTTTTATTTTTTACGCGCGAGAACCAAGTTTCTCGATTCTCTCGATCGTCGCTTTCTCGACTCGTAAAAGCTTGGAACGGAACATCGAATAAGGGAAGGAAGGGGAGGGGAAAAAAGGAAGAGAAAACGAGAATCGGAGGAGAGAACCGCAACGACCGAGAAAATCCTTCCGTCCTTCTCTTCCACAGCCCGTCCCAAACGACAAACCGAAGTTGGTCACTGCCGAGTAATCCGCGCGCTGCGTGTTCCACGCTCTCCCGTGGAATAATGTTTCGCGGACGCATTTTGCGGCGTAAACTTTGTCAGGTAAATATTTGACGCAATCTGGCGCAAGCACGAAACAATCCGTTGAAACGGGATCCGGCTGCGACCACGGAACTCCGTTCTCTGATGCATTAGGTGCTCTCCCAGGGCCGGCCACTTCAATGCCTCGAGGGGGGGGGGGGATCTGAATCGAAGCGAGTAGAGCAGGTAGACGGAGAGAATTCGTTGGAAATATATCGTATCATCCCATCGCAATATTTCTCGAGTGGCGACGAAACTCGAGAAATCGATCGAATCGAGCCTCCCCTCCTTCCATATTCTTTTAAAGATTAATCGTTCGTGATGGCAATAATATCGAAACAAGTTTTATCTCGTCGAGGGAATCTCGACGGATCCACCCCGCGCGTTTCTATCTGTCTTTATCCATGCGAAAATCCATGTAGAACGAGGGTGTAACCGGCGAAGGAAAAACGGAGACGCGAACGAAACGAGGGGCGAACATCCGATCCTCGTTTAATCCACCGATGTTGGACGCGATCCATCTTTGTTGTCGTCGTCGTCGTCGTCGTCGTCGAGCTAGTTTTCTTTTTCTTCTCCAACCGTCTTCGTTCCAAACGGTACACCGTCGATTCCGTGTTATCTGTGAACGCGGCTCCACAACCAATGCAGCCGCCTCCTTGTCGCGGTAAAGCCTCGTTGTTCCCTTTTGCCGTTGTTGCGGGAACCGAAGCCAGTTGACGCAGTCGGTGATTCGGCCACCTGGGAAATACCGGGTAATGCCCGCAAAGCTCTCCTCCTTTCTCCAAAGTTGCTCTCCTCTCCTTTTTTTCGCAACGCTGTCGTCTTCTCCCTTTCCAGCGCTGTCTCTTTCTCCTTCCTTTCTTGTAAAGAAGTTGGACGAGCGGGAGGGAGCATCCGCGAAAATTGGCCAGACTTGCGGGGTCTGTCGGGCAGCGTAATCGGAATTACGAACACGCGCCGCCTCCAGACGTTGATGATTTAATTTATCGGGCGAGCGAGCGTTGAAAAAGGCTCCGTGATTGGCTTATTATCCAAACAATACTCGAGGTCGAAATTCGCCTCGAATAGAAGGAGGAGGAGGAGGAGCTAGTCGTTCCGAACGAACGACTCGCTAGTTTTCCGAAAAACTGGAGAGAATCTTAGGGTAAAAAAAAAAAAAAGAGAAAAGAAAAGGAAGAAATAAAAGGAAGGAAAAGAATATTGCACGATTGTTTTTCTTCTATTCCATTCGTATACTCTCGCGTTCGTATAGTCTCGTATACGTGCTTTACAAACACCATCCATCATCGTATCCATCTCGCGAGATGCGTCTCCTCGCATTATTCATTATTCCAAGACTTCAATCTCTCTTCTTAGAGAGAAGGCTCGCTCGCCTTTTACCACCACTACCACCCACGTTCCCCGATCTCGAAAGAACGCAGGCAAACGCGTATTTTGCCACCCTGTATTGGGCGTAAAGGACGAGCAAAGAGAGCAGTAGGAGGACGGCGTGCACGTCGGCGAGGTAACGTTCGTGCCAGGGCATGGTTACCGCCTCGCTTCTCACGTACGGCAAACCGTTCCCACGTGCCACGTACTCGACCCACCATATCGCTGTCTCCAGGGGGCTGGCCGGCCGATCCTTAAAAGCTTTCGAGAGCCTCTTGGCGTTCTCTCGATACCTGCAACACAACCAGAAGAATTTCGTCCACAATCGTGTAATAAATAATAGAGTATAATAAACGAATAAGCAAACGAACAAAGCTCAAATAAGCGACGAAGGGATAACCAACTCGAGGCTCGTGTCCCTCGTGACACGCTCTCTCACCCGTATCGGACACTTGCTTGCTTTTCCATTTACCGTCGAGTCATCGCGTTCGTTTTTTTCTTCTTTTTTTTCCATTTTTTCTATCCTCGACTCGAGCCACCCCAGGACACAAACCCTCCTCCTCCTCCTCCCCCCCGTTATACATATATATTCGATGAATAATTCATGCGATACACCTCGATCGATCCCGCCACTCGATACATCGCGGGGAGTACGGGAAAAAGATGCCTCGGGATACTTTGTAAATGTCTGCCGAGAGAAAGAGAGAGAGAGAGAGAGCTTTTTAACGGCGCGTTTATCGTTCGCCCAGAGAACGAGAGGAGGAAACGAGGAGGAGGAGGAGGAACCGATCGGAAAAAATCCTCCGTTCCTCTCGAATCCATCCGTACAGTTGCCGCCGCGCCACGTTGGCGAGAGTCCGACTCGTGTCGGAAACAGAGGCGTGCGGAGAAAAAAAGGGGAGAAAAAAGTTGGGGGGAAAGGGCAGAGGAAGGGCAGAGGACAAAGGGCAGAGGAACACGCGACGAATGGGCGAGGAGAGGAGGGGAGAGGGGTTGTGTCCGCCTCGACGACCCGGACGGAGCACACAATTTGCCAATCGGTACTCTCCATTATTCGTGTTTACAGCTGCGGGCCGCGAATCAACCCCTCCTCCTCCTCCCCCCCCTCCTGTTATTTGCCTCGGTCAAATTCAGTCGCAGCCCCGCGGTGGTTTTGAATTAACCATCAATTTTAAGCGCGTTCGACGTCGCCGCCCGCGCGCCACGGCGGCGGGGGAGGGAGGAGAGAGGAGGACACAGACGGTGTTTTCGAGGGTGTCGGACAGACGTAGCGCCAAGGGAATTAATTTATCGTGACGCGAAGGGGGGGGGGAAGGTGGAAAAAGGAGAAACGCGCGCACACAGCTGTTGGCAGCTCGCGCGCCGTTTAATTCGACAGGGACACGATAATCGAAGATCGATGACTCGCCGTCGGCTCGATGTCACTTCCTTCCCCTTGCTCCACATATATCCCCCCCATAATACCGTCAGGAGCCATTAAAGATGTATCGCTCGCAATATCTCGAATCTGATTATCGCTCGATTCCGGGGATATCCGCTATTTCCGCCAGGTTGCATTCCTCCATGTATCGACGAGAGAATTACTTGGAGGAGAGAGAGAGAGAGAGAGAGAGGAAGGGGGATAAAAGAAAGAAGTCGAAGAAAGAGAGAAAAAGAAGAAGAAAATTTGACGACAGCTTTGTTTTCGAGAAAATCGAAACATATCCGGATGCATTCATAAATATTTATAAACAATATTAATATCGAACGGATAGATTTTAAAAATTCGATTTAAAAATCCTTCGTTCGTTTTTATTGCATTTTGTGTACAATATATATATATATAACATTATGAAATTTTATATATCGTTTTATCACTTTTCTCTTGCTTCGTTGCGCGTAAATAACTCGATTCATTTTGACGATAGGAAAAGAATATATCTATGTATATATAAATTTTAACAATCGTTTATCGTTACGATAAACCTCGTAATTATTTATTTCCGTCTTTTCAAGGATCCATTTATTCAAACGCAAGATGGCAAACGATAACGCGTCAATTCATCAACGCGGGGAAGAAAAATTATATAGAGTGTTATAAACGTACCCTCCTGCCTTTGACTCGTAAAAACTCGAAAGAAAATATACAACGCGAATGTGCTGCTCGAACAAATGGAAGACGTTTTGCTCCGCAACCGGATCATCATATCCCTCCTTCTCATCGAACGAGGTTTATCGGGGAAATTATTTAGCCGGGAGAAAGTCGGAAGGCAGATGTCGCGAAAGTTGCACTTTGCAACCGTCCCCGTATCTCCGGGGGATCGTAATTCCCGCGATATCTCGGATCGTTCTCGACCCCCGACACGTTACGAACCAACTTACTTTCCGACTTGTAACGTTATCAAAAGGGGGGAGGCCTCGTGGCGGAGAGGCCTCGAAACTCCGCGCGCCCGCACAACTCATCCGCCCGCCACCAGAATTACTCGGTTCGAGGATTCTAATTGCGGGGCGGTGGGGGGAAAGAATGATGCTCCAACGGAAGGAGAACGCGGGTGAATTACTCGATTCTACTCCATTCGTGTGGGATATGCGAAATTCGCTCGAAATTCGAACATTTCATCGCGAACATTTATCGTAAATTCGTAAATAATACACGATTGTTTGTCGAAACGAAAATCCTTCTGTTCTCTCCCGCTTTGATTTCCCGTTACCTCTCCGGGGTTATGCGGTATAAAATAAAAATAAACGCGGATGATATAACACGCTTTGGTTACTCTCAGCCAAGTAGTTTTGTTACTCGACTCGTTTTATACACGGAGTTAGAAATGATCTAATTTATTTCTAATCTGGGGGGAGAAGATTGGGAAGGAAAGTTTAGATTCTCCCTTTTTTTTTTTCTCTCTCCTAGATAGATATTATTAGACAGAACCGAGGAGAAGATTAAGGAGGGTGGGCGTATAAGGCGAAATAACGAGGGCGCGGAATTAAGAGATGATATTTGGGGAACAAGAATTAACAAACTGGGAGGTAAAAAAAAAAGGGGGAAAAAAAATTGTCCGTTAGCAGCGGCAAGCGTTACAGTCTAATTAACCGTGTACAAACCGTGGAAAAGGGGTAGAAACGCGTGCAAAGGTAAAAAAGGATGTTTATTTCATCCGGCTTTACCAACGTATTCGCCGATGTGACTAGAGCGAAAATAGGTGCGAAAATAGGATGAAACAGGGATTGCTCGACCACCAGGTGGAAAAAAAATGTGTATGCGAAAAGAGTATAGTGCGAGATAATAAACGAGAGCATAGTAGATTATCCATTTATCTTTACCATCCGTGCAAATTCTTTGGAAACAATAATCGCGAATAATTGCGTTCACGATCTCGCCATCTATCTAGATCTGCAAATTCTTTCGATACCAACGAATTAATCGAAGCATCCAACGTCGTCCAACGTTCGTAATTCCGTCCATCCGATCGATGGATGAGAGTAATTTCGAAATTTTTCATCCTCATCTCGCTGGATCCGATTCGAACCCTTTGGAAAGGACGACAAGTTACGAATAATAATTGCGTGTTATCGTCGTTTTCGCGAAAAAGGAAGCGAAGAGGAAAAAAAAAAAAAAGAATCGTCACAAATTTTTGAAAAAGTTCGTTGGCTCCTCTTTAACCTTAGTTCGTCTCGTTAAATCTGCAAATTCTTTGGAGGAAACGAATGCGCGAATAATCGCGCGATTAAAAATTATTGGCGAAAGGTTAGGACTCGACGATCCTGAATGAAAAGTAAAGGAAACGAGAGTAATTTCCCGGCAATCCAGGATTTTTCAAACTTGTCCTTCGCCCCTCCTCGTGGAGGAAATTCGGAGGGGGGCCGCCGCGAGAAAAGTAATTTTCGTCCCCTCGTAATTCCTTCGAAGTTACTTTACGATTCTCGGCCACCCTGCGCCGCCACAGCCATCGGTTCTCTGCCTTCCCTCATTCTCTCCTTCTCCTTGCCAACTTACTTCCCGACTTGTAACGTTATCGCGGCGAGCCGGCAAGCTTGCTCTCCCTCTCGAACGGCCAATTAGCCGGCGTAACCGAACTCGCGCACGTACACTTATCTTCCGCCGCATTATTCAGGATTCTCGCGGCCCCGTCTTCTAAATTATAACCCATAAATTTCGGATCGCGTTACAAATCGCGTTCCGTCGTGAAATCTCCGAGATGAGAGGACGAGGAGATCGAGCAAGATTCTTCACCGATTCTGGCACGCGTTTCTTTCTTTCTTTTTCTCCATCTGCATACGAAAGATTCGAAAAAGTGGAATCTTCGTATAGTGGAAGGGAAGAGAGAATGATCGAGGAAAATTCGTTCGGTTCTCGTTGACAGTTCGTTGCCGTTGAGATATCTATTTCTAATTTTGCACATAAATTATCCGTTACAACGGTAATTAACTTATTTCGGAGGGGGGGGGGGAGAAAAAAGGCATGGAATATTGGCTGCCATCGAAGATAAGCTCAACTGAGCTTTTAAAGCGGCAATTTGCTTCACTTGTATCTATATTATCTATATTTAAGAAGATTGCCAATCGACGTAATAACAAGAGAATTACACGTAATTATACGTAATTATATTATACAAACATTTACTAATGTAATCGTACAATAATAAAATGTAGGATACACGAGTGGAAGGGTTAACGTACCAAGGAACGCTATGCAATGATAACAGCGCGCCGCAGAAGAACGACGACACGATTTTCTCGTTAACCAGGATTCGAGTCGATCGAATCCATCGTCTGTACGATCGAGAATTCGAAAATTCGGATTTCCTCCGCTCGCTCGCTCGAATAATCGGCGCGTTATCTCGGCCGCAAAACTGTGTAACACGCGCACGGGACGTTTAAACGAAACGGCGGCGCATGGCCTACGGCCGGCCGACTAATTGGGCCAGAAACAGAAAACTCCGACACCGGGTATGTTTCATTCGCACCTGACACAAACAACGTTTAAATCCTCAATTACAGTCGCTCGCGCGTTACGCGACGGGATATCGCGTTTGACATACGCGCCCGTTAATTTTCGAACGCGCGGTTTCTCTGGCAATGAGCGGCCGAACCGTGCGCGAATATATGTATATATACGTATATATCACCTGGACTGGACCGTTTCCCTAAAAAAAAAAATCCTCTTTCCCTAACGATTCGAATAATCTTACTTGCAATCGAAGGTACAAAAAAATTTCCTATAAACGTAACATTTTGTAAATAATTATTCGCGCGAAATTTTTCTACATTTTAATTGTTGAATGAATCGTTGTCCTTGTGAAAAGTTTGTTGTTAA